GTGTTAAGTTTTTAAAAAGCTGAATAAAAATGTATATAGTACACACATGCCCTCACACACAGACAGTCCCTGTGTTTTTGATTATTATTATTATTATTTATTTATTTTTTTGTATCAGGGATTGAACTCCAGTCCTTGTGCTTGCAAGACAGGTGACAGAGCCACTGAGCTAAATCCCTGGCCCCCATCCATATATTATTGAATGTAGGCTACACAATAGGAACTCTTTTTTTCAGTTCTATCAATTGATTATTAATTATTCTTATTTATAGATAATTATACTATATTTATTTATATTCATATATATTTTGGTATCAGGGATTGAACTCAGGACCTTGTGCCTGCAAGGCAGGCATGGTGCCACTGAGCTAAATCCCCAGCCCTGTAAAGTCTACTTTCTAATTTCATCTGATAACAGATACATCAAGGTTTGACTTTTCTGCCTGCTATTTCTTCATTTTTAAAATACTCTCCTTTAAGTTTCACAGTTCTTTAGGTTCAAATTCCTATGATGTTTTATTGTGTAATGTGAAGTTTCTTACACAGAATTCAAAATTTCAATCCATAGTATGTTTTATGGTACATTTTTGAAAAGAATTTTTATGGTGATCCTTATTTAGTTACAAAAATTTATTAAAATAAGGCTACATAAAATGTAGGAGTCCTTATTAAATGCACATTGGTTCAGCACACATTAGGTACAACACCTGCCAAAAACTCTGAAAATGGAATGGCTCTCTGCCCTCCATGAGCTCAGTCCAGGGAGTGGCAACAACAGAAGCTGGGACAGGAGTTAATGTTGTCTGATGAGGGGAAGGTGGTGACCTGAATACAGCAGTGGTTTGAAAGCATTCAGTTTTTAAATAAAAAGTACATGATTTCTGGCTTGTGACTAGGTGCAGAAAAAGGCCTGCTTAATGTTACATATTTATAGTTCTTTGTAAATTGTTAAGTGGATGAGCTATTAGGAAAGTAAGAGTTCCATTTTCTTTTTCTCATTAAAATTAGTACATTACTGTGGATCAGATGCTAATAAAAGAAAAAAAATAATACTCTGTAGAGAAAAGACTTCAAATTGAATTAATTTATGTACTGATTATGAATACAGAATAAATGTTATAACAACTCATGTTTACTTATTCATGTCTTTCAAAAGAAACATGGCAAATTCTGTTCATTTCCTAAAATGATAAAGATCACACTGATGAAATCATTTAGTTAGCTCTATCAGAAGTTCCACCTTGCCAGACACTGGAAAGACTTTACAAATACATGTCTAAAAGAGTACATGTTTAGCAAGACATACATAAACACCTAGAACTCTGAACTAATTCAATCTAACAACAGTTTTGAATTTGAAGACATCTGCATGAATTGACAAAGGCACAATTTCCAGGCTGGGGCAGTAGTGTTTGCTTAGGATAAGCGGAGCCCTGGGTTTGATCCCCAGGAATGGGGGAGGGGGCAGGGCTTTCATCATTTCTTGCTACTCATTAGTTGCCTTTCTGTACTATGTTAATGAATTGTTAAAAATTTCTATGGTTTCCCAAATAACCAAGCCATCTTAATTTGAAAACACTCATTCAGATGGTACCTGTACCTGTTAAAGCTGGGTATTTCAAAAGCTCTGTTTACCAAGGCACTGATTTTACT